GAATTTTGGACGAACACTCCTTCTTTCAAAGATAATCCTAACATATCCTAACCATCATCTGGAAAGTTTCGTTGCTATTCTTAAAGTTGAATCCGAGCATCAGCTTGCGTGGAATTTGTCCATTTCCAACACCCAGCCTGTAGGTATGCTCCGTTGTTTAAGATGTTCGACCACCTTTCCATGGAATAACCGCTGCATTTTGAAGAGGTAGAGAAAATGCACGAATGTGCATTGCAGGGAGGCTACCCCGCCTCGTTGGATTAGCGACCTATGTATCACGAAAACTATCGTACTGCCTTTTTGAGGGTAAAATCAGCACTTGCACCTAATATGTCTCAGGTTCTTTGCAAGCGGCTGCTCCACCTTCAGCATCAGACCAACAACCCCGACATCGATTGTGTACTAAGACTTCAGTTTCACACTTCGTCTCGTGTCCGGTCCAGATCTTACCGCATGGTGCGCCTAATCCCGACTCTGCTGTTCCGGCGGAAGGTTTGCAGTCAGAGCTTTTGGTCCACTTCGACGACATGGGTTAGATCTCTCCAACAAGTGTGCTGCAGCGGCCCAGTTACCCTTGCCATGACGACACTTTTGGGAGCCCAACAAGCGCCGAAGGTACCAAAATTTGACCCCTTGAAGGACCCTTCTTCAGTACCAAAATTTGACCCCTTCTTCAGACCGTTCTCCAAGATTCGGGTGGAAACATGGGCGCAAACCACGATCTATTCGCACCGCCACACTGGTGCCTTTTTGACCAGCCCCACTTGTTCGCACCTCCACAACCAGGCACCAGCGCCCCGCGTTCCGCGCCGCGTTCCGCGCGCCGCGTTCCGCGCGCCGCGTGTCACCTCGGTGAGGCGCAGGGGCACCCACTTCGACGGCAGCTGGCAGCGTTCGTCACGCTGCGACAGGACGAAAGGCTCCTGGGAAGGCCGCAGGCGTTTGGGGACCCCAAAAACGCAAGTTTGGGGGGGCCATGGCCTGCACTTCAGAGTCCATCAAGTCGTTTTTGGTTTGGATCCTGGATCAAATCTGTTTCGGTCAGTCAATCAATACTTCAGGACTTACATCCACATACGGTTCCGTAGCATCTCTAGCACAGCGCTGAAATCGCCCATCCTCTCCTCCAAGCGAGGGTGGTTCTCTTTGTCCAGGCATTCCGACATCCGGGGCGCAGAAAAGGGCTGCGGTGGATTTGTTTTTCTGACCTACATGGCTGCAGGCCAAAACTGCCTCGGTGTTTACTTCTCTTTCTCCCAACGCAACCTTGATGCACCGTAGAAGCATCAGCTTGGAAAGGGAAGATGGGGCGCATTCCGTCGGCAAGATGCATCATGTATATAAGTATGCTGGAAGAAGGTAGTGGAACATGTTCCTCCAAATCTGCCCCTGGGCAGCTTGTTCTGAACTCGAGCACCTCGCCTCTGAACTTCTGCGTTGATGATCCTACACCGAGCCTCGAGGGCAGGCGGCCCCAGACCATTCACGTTGAGGCTGATCATTGCTCCAAAGAAGAGACCCACTTGGAACCCGAAAATTGACCTTTGGAAGACTGTCTTCCTCTAGCTTCCTCCAGGATCCTTTCTTTCAAACGGCCAGGGGCCTATCCCCCGCCTCCCTGTTCCCCAGCTCCCTTTCCCTACGAAGAAAAAGGATTCTTCCGGTCCAGTGACGAGATGCCGCTCTTCACGTTCAACAGGGCCACCACGTCTTGATCTTCGGTGGCCATACAGCGGCATCCGTGCCCTCTTCTACCAGTCGCAGCACACCGACCCACTGGTCGTGTAAATCCGGGAAACCCCCTCCGTCCTCTTGCCCCTGGCGTAGACGGTAGACGGGGTCTATGTTCCGAACCTTCCGGGGTCGGAACGCCTGAACACACCCAAATGTTGAACTCATCACGGATCCTCAGCACTCCGCAGACTCTATCCATTCAAGTCAGTCCATCTGCGGTCGCGCGTAGCCACATTTATGCCTAAACCCTGAGTGACCTCGGGTTTCTAGATACACATGTTGAGGTCGTTTTTGCTCCTGGACACCACATGGTCACCTGGAGCTTTCTTCGTTTGCCGCTGGGAACCCGCCTGCGGCATGGTGCACATCCAGCGAGTGCCTCGCGGGCGAGGGCGAGTCGCGGAGCCCCCCGTGGGCGGCTCAGCGACATGGGTACGGGGGACCGTTAGGTGGGGGAGAGAAGCAAATGGAGGAGTTGGAAGGAATTCATGTAAATTCCAGGCCAAAACGGTTGAGAACTATGTGGAAAAATCACTTGAGAATTGTGTGTGTGTGTGTCATTCAGTCATTCTGAAATGAAAAGACCAAGACCAACAGAGTCTTGTGGGATCGACTGTGATACCTTGTGGGACCTCAAGAAATCAGAAGGAAGGCAATTGGGACCTCATCCCTCTAGGTTTTGGCAGCAAGTCCGGACCGACCGTCTCTCGACCATCCGACCGCCAGCAACAACGTCAAAGGAAACATATGCGTTTCATAAAAATCATATGTTTTTTCTCATAGCGGGAATTCTCTAGGATTTGGATTTCTCTGACGAACCTTTTTCAGGAGTTGACGGACGAACCATCGAAGACCCAAGACCCTGGCTTTTACAAAACCCAAGACCTCCGAAGCCATGGCAGTTTGTCGCTGAGAGGCAGGTTCTGAGCTCCCAAATGATTACAGTAGGGTCCCTTATTATCTCTTATTCTTCAACGTGGTGTCCAAAAGCTGTTGCAATACGTGAGATGAGAACTGTCATCGTGAGATGATGTTGATGGTCGTGAGGGCCTCACGCTACGGCCTGGAGGTTCTCACGCATCACCACGACTACGAATGGCCCGCCACGAATGGCGAACGCAAAGGAGATGTGTTCAAAACACCAATCAACTCGCTGCGAATTCGTCGGTCCCCACACTGTGGTCGGCATGGCTTGCCCAAGGTCAACCACCACACACTGGACCTGAGCTCTCACTTCGGACCCAAGGTCAGCCAGCGGTCTGAAAGTGTTTCAACTCTCACAGCCCACCGGATAGAAAGCTGAATTCTGGATTCTTCTCCAAGAACCCCGTGGGTCCAACAAAATGTCCCATCTTCTGGAAGTGAAGACGACCAAAAGGTCCAAAGTTCCTCCCCGCGATAAAAATGGTAGTCGAAGACGGCCGGGTGAGAGCTGATCTGTTACAACGGGGAAACGGCTGGAAAAACCATAATAGTAGTAACAATGATCATCAGTCATATATTGGTAAATCTGCGTGTGTGTGTGTGTGTCATTCGCTGAAGGGGTTAAGAATGACCATGGGACATAAATGAAGGTGTGCTTCACTGTCATTTCCCCAACAACCTGGACGATTCCAAGACCATTGGACCGCGCTTTCTATCGTAGGGGCTCCCAAGAAACAGCCCCTCCGGCGGAGGACATGGCCGCCTCAAATTCTGTATATGACTCCAACCTACTAGCGATGGCCTCTCGTTGGAGGACATACAGTACTTTTGATTGGAAGGTGTGTCGGCCACTCGGTTGGATAGACCCGAGCTGACGAAGCGGCACCGAGCCTCCCGTGACCGTGAACGTCTCTCACGGCGGACGTGAGAGGCCAAGTGACAAGTCACACATGGAAGGAATCGGCCTTCTCTCGTCCGGGTGGTTTTTAGGGGAACAACCAGCGCTGCGAGCCAGGGAAGGAGCCGGCACAGAGAAGCCATCAAATAAAAGAATCAAATCAAAACCTCTTGGTTGAGAGAGTGGAGATATGCCCCTTTCTATCCACAAACAGCGGCTGTTCCACGGAACCATCATACGAACGGAGCGAGTGCAATGCACGAAGAACTCGGGGGCTATGCCTAGCGAACGAGTTGAAAGATGATGAAATATTGATTGCTTGGCAAAAGGGAGATCTGAGAGGAACCGTTGTACCAACCAACAAATGGCTGAGCTTGGGAGCAACATGGACGCACAATAGAGCCCGTGCTGGGCTGAAATCGTGATGCAGGGAACAAGCAAACCATTGGGACGCTGGAACCGAACGGTCGACAAAGGCCCAACCAGGAAGGCCCAACCAGTGGACCCTGATGCCATGGGTCCAACCACAATGGGCACCACACCCACAGCTTGGCTAGTTCCGCAGGTCTCCGTGCCAAACCGGTTCGAAAGCGAAGAGCCACAGCCACGGAGCAGCCACAAACCAAAACCTCCAGGCGGCGTTCGGGCCTTCCACTTTTCCTCCGAGCCACATGGAAAGCTCGCGTGCGGCACGAAAATGTTTGTGTGAAACGAGACGTTCGACACACTGTGCCACGAGTTTGGCCGCCCGAACTCATTCCAACAAGGCCATCTCAAACTCAAACGACGGACGACTTTTTGGAAGGTCGTGGCCGCATCTCAGCATGCGACCTCGACCTGGCAACTCGCTCAATGACCTACCCGGTAAACCAAAAAGAGAACATCTGGAACAAATACCATTTGAATCCACCTAGAATTGGATGTCCAAGCATCTTCAGGCCGGTGCAAATAATCCGGTCAATTGTTTAAACGTTTTTTGGAAATCTGGCGCCTTCGCTTCCTTCCACCTGAGGAGAACTGAGGCGCTGAAGACTGTCGTGGCCCAAACACGCCCGACCCACGACCTGCACGCGTCAACGACCAACGACCGGAGCATTAGAAACGAGACCCCAAAAAAAGGGGAACCGAGGTGTCCATCCAAGAGAAAAGAGACAACTGATCAAGTGTCAAAAGCCCAGACCAAAAGGGTGTGTGAAAATCATTAGTCAGTTAATCGGACCAACAGCCAGCAATGATGGCCATCATGGAAAAAGGAAAAGAAATGAAAAGAACTCTTCGTTGCTGTGCAAGCTCAGCCCGTCATCGTTTCACGGTTGCACACATATTATGTGCAACTATCATCAACTATCTACAAGCCAAGCGAACGCAGCTGCAGTGAGCTTTGCTCAGTGCAAATGAATGAAGATTTAACATTCACCCCCAACTCACTCTTGCTCATGATATCTCATGACTCTTCTTTCTCTTTTTCTACACGTTTGTATCGACAAATATACCCTGGATAGATCAAGTTGTCGTCAAAGACAATGATCTCTCGATAGGTTCCACGGATCTTCTCCCGATCACCGAGGATGGATTGAAATCCACCCCCCTTGCAGGAGTTGGCGAGTTCATCACCGTCCGGTCGCTTTTCATCGTTGTAGTTCACACGGCCCAGACACGACAAGCACAGCAGGATGGTACGAAGATTCTTGGCACCATGGGGAGTGGTGTATTCGTCACTCTTCGATACAGCCTCCGGCGGACTGAGGGTCGGGTCTGAGGGTCGGTCTGACCAAAAGAAGGACCAGAAAAACCAAAGGAAAAAGGCAACCCGGTGGGAGGTTGCCCCCCTTTCCTCTTGAATGGAAAGACATGGAACGACACAGCAGACACTGCACGGGGTCAATCCGGAAACATCCCAATCTGTTTCTTCTGTCCATGCCTCAGCGAGATATGCTCCATTGCCTGACGAGCTCGGTTCTGGAGTCTCGGGTGCTCGGTTTGACAGAGTCTCGTGGCTTAGGTCTGCTGGTGAAGTGGCGAGACCACTCACCACTGAATCTCAACGACCTCTCCAACATCAAACCGTAAGTTGGCTTATCCTATCTGTCTTCGAATTAGCTAGGCCTCTACACTTGTTCAAACTGAGTCTCGCGCCGTACAGGGTACCAGCATTGCTTCCAGCTAAATTCAGCCGGAAATCTCCTTCTGTGATGCCGCTTTCACCTGCTCCTGACGTGCCATGATACAGCCAGTGCTCATTGATGCCCCCCGGGTACTGATCGCTCTGGAACCACTCGGCCCTCTCACCTTTCGTGCACACATCCGTTCGGAATTCGCCCGTCCAGGCAGGGCCCTTTTCTTGTAGCTCTTGGTAGACTTTCTGCCGTCTTATTTCATATTCCAACCAAGATCCACAATTGAAGACCTCATGGTGTGGTGAAAAAAGGAGCTCTTTGTCCAGCGATTTTGACATGAAAATAAAATCACGGTCACTGGAAGACGTTGTTTTCTCTACAGAGAGCGCTAAACGCATCTAGTCTATGTCATCTATTTTGTATGCTTTTTTCATCTCATCTCCTTCCAACAGCTGCAGGGTTCCCGCACCTGATCGACCTCTTCCACGGTCAAAGCATCTGGCACCTTCCCTCCCCTGCGATCTCGAGTGTAGCGATGCAAAAAGGTGTTCTCAAACAAGCCCCGGATCCACTCGAAGGTGGCACTCCGCACAGGCACATACTTCTTCATCACCAGATCACCACCGGAAAAGAAAATGCCATTCACTGCACAGCCATCGAGCCCTTGACGCAAGACACCAAGCAGATTCCAATCTTTGGGAAGCTGAAGCTCCTGCAAAAAGGCGTCCAAGCCAAAAGGATTCCGCCGATCCGTTCCAAGCGTTCACGTTTAAAACACACGCGTCGCTCTCGCGCACACCGAGCCTGACAATATGCCCCAACAATGACGTCCAGCGTCTCGCTCGACTGCAAAGTAGCACCCACCGAGCACAGTACTTCAGCTACGGCGGACTCCGCACCGGCATCTTCATCTTCTTCAAACCCTTCAAAATCATGGCCCTCATAGTCCTCCTCATCGTCCTTCTTGGGCACCTTCTTCGGCTGCGCGGCGATGATCTGCGCGATCAGGCCACTGAGGATGAAGATGCCGTAGCGCACCGCGTCCGACCGGCTGGGTGAATCGGTCGTCCCCTCTGTCCCGAGACCCGCCGTCTCACCCTCCCCCTCCCCCTCCCCCTCGCGAGAGATCCGACTGACCACCCACTTCAAGCGTGCCTCAAGCTCATGGTTGACCAATTCTTTCAGCTGTGCCACGTCAATTCCTCCACACTCTGCCAAGGTCAACAATTGCCAAAAGTCGCTCTTCAAAACCTGGAGGCAGCAGGGTGAGCGTTTCTTTCGCTTCGCAAAAACAGTTCTTCGAGAGAAGCGTTGGCGTTCGGTCGTCATGAAACATGGAGTGAAGGAGAAGGAGAAGATTCCCCAGTGTCCTTTTCTCCATTCTTCCGAACTGTTTTTGTTTTTTCCCATTCTTTGACAACACGAACGCCCGAACGGGAACGCTCCCAACGCTCGAACGCAACATCCCCCAACATCGTTGTCCGCACCTCTGAGATGTTGTGGATGCTCTCCACGGCCACTTTCGCGGCGCTGGTGCGACCCAAGTCGACCCGTGGATGTGCCTCGACGAAGCGTTGCAGCTCCGCTGTGAAGTCCACGTCCTGCGAAGCCTCACAAGAAGGCGAGGCTTAACATCCAGCGGATCTACCCCAAAGCGAGGACGCCTCTCCCAGTGCGGGAGAAGCTCGTGTCTTTATGGTGTTCCAGAGCGTCCTTGGAAATCATATGAAATCACATGTCTTTTCTTCAAGAGCAAGCAACAAAGGGCATCGCTACTAGGAGCAAGGACGCTACTAGGTTGGAGGTTCTTGAGTCCGTCCAGTGTGGCCATCTTGAAAGATGAGGAATTGCTTAGACATCCCCTTGGTGACGTCTGTATAAGCGGCGGCTTGCCATGTGGAAGACAAAATGGCATGAAAGCCTACATGTCGCTTCAAACCTGTTTTCTGCTGGAGAAACCGATGGTTTCCGTCATGTGATCTGTCAAAGCATCATGTGATCTGTCTTGGGTCTTTCCTGACCGTTGCGGTCTAGTCTTGTGAAAGACACAGATCGGGAAAGCTCTCAGTCTTGGACATGTCTGGACTGGTGGACCCAGAAATAAGAAATTTTGTGCAAAGCTCTGAAGACCATCGCTGTTGGCAACCACTCTGAGTCATCGCACACTGATCCTCCTTTTTACAGGCAGCGTTTTGGCAAGCTCAGACTCAAGACAACTTGCCAATCTTTTTGTCGGTCGAGTTTGGGGTATCACTCTCAGCTGGAGAGTATGTATGTTGCAGTGCCCAAAAATGGATCCTTCTTTCGCAGAATGTTGAAAAAATCTGTTGGGACTGACTTCGTAGGGCAATGTGACATTTGTGCGCGACCAATTCATAATTCAGTGCAGGGCGGCCACGGTGTCTCTTGTGTGATCGCAAGGAAAAAATGGCTTCCACTCTTTTCAATATCAAGATGACAAAAAGTTGCAGTGTGTTCAATTGAGTCTTGCTTGTTTGACTTGAAACAAAGAGTGTGAAGCACGGTTTGACTTGTCGTTCAATGGAAAAGTCATAGGAATCGCTGCAATTGTCAATGTTTAAAAAAATACAAATCTATCATGTCTATGTGGAAAGGTGAGATGATTCGAAACCCAAAATTGCGACACAAAATAGCGACACATTCGGCCTCCAGAACTGTTGGCATCAACTCTTCAACCACGAAGGAGAGCTTTCCACGGCTGAGTTTATGTTCTTTTAGGGTGCGAGCTTGCTCGAAGACTAAAGCCATCCGAATCAACTGGATGCACCTCATGTGGTCCCCCCAAAGGAGGGACAGAAGCTTGAAGCTTGAGAGGGATTATTCAAAAACACACCAGGCGTGCATGGTCTTGCAGCGATGCGTGATGTGTGGTTCATGATACATCAATTTCGTGGCAAAGCTTAGTACTTGAGGCTGTTGCTGATGTTGTGCCAACTAGTTGAAGGTTTTTCGTTTTACTGCTCATTGTTTGGACCAAAAAACATTGGTTAGAAGGCAGACAGCCTTTTCTTCTCAGTGAGATCGTTTTGTCAAGTCCTGACATGTGCTGATACCAAGATGTGCTGTATATATCTCCAAAAACGTAAAATGAAGAAACAAAAGCAGAACATGGCCGTGCAACTGGATCGTCCAACTGGAAGCCTAGGCACTCCCCTTTCTCAGATTTGTTGACGCTGTCGAATCTCGCACAGACGTACCTTGGTTTTGCTTAAGGAGCTGTGAAAAAGACTAAAAATATTTATACCTGAGAAGGGGGGACGAAAGCCAGCAGCCGCCAGACGAGTGTCTCTTTTTCTGGCGGGCGTCGCGGTACAAAACACATGGTCGGCAGCTTGCGAGTCAGCGGTGCCGCGGATGCGGGGGGGCGTATGTAATGGTGATTGAGGGAGCAGAGAAGCAAGCCGGGCGGCTGTGGGATAAGTTTGGTAAATATGAATTAAGTAGTGAAAGAGAAATGCGATACGTAAGTTGGTGTAGGTCATCATCACTTACAAGGCAATGGCATGTGTTTGTCACGCGCAGGAAGGCATGCATCTTATGGAAGTTGGAAGGCGACAGCAGCGTTGGCGAAAGGTAAATACCGTCTGGGTTCGAGTGGTGGGATACCACCGCGGCGCGCAGGAAGACCTTACTCCATAGTGAGCGTCACCGCGCGCGTGCGCGAGTGCGGCATGCGTTTGAAAAGGAACAATTCTGTGTTTGTTCCATTTGGAATGTTTGAAGTTTGCAACGCATACTGCGGCACGTCGACAAGCCTTCGTTGATTTGGAAAAGTGAGCGGGCACGTCTTAGCCGGGATATGGACGTTTGATCCTGCGGCGCAGAAGGGGAGGTCCAGCAAAAAAAGCTTGGGCTAGCAAAGGAGTGAGGATTTGTGCTCCTATCGATGCACATGCCTGGACTTGAGTGAGTCATGTCCTGGCTCAATCCAAAACACAATCTTTTTCCTTTAAAGGGGCCTTTATTAAACGATCCAAACACCTTCTTTATTCTTCTCTTTCTTATCAACTCTGCGCCTTTCTCGCTCAGAGGCCTTGACTTTGGCACCTGCGTGTGTAGATCTTTGGGCCGTGGACCCAGGCTGACTGGATTTGGCCAGGGCTGCCAGCAAAAAGGCGACGTCATGAGTCTCTATCTCTCTCTCTCTATCTCTGTATCTCTATCTCTGTCTCTATCTCTATCTATCTATCTATCTATCTATGTATCTATCTATCTATCTTTCTATCTATCTATCTATCTTTCTATCTATCTTTCTATCTATCTATCTATCTATCGATCGATCGATCGATCTATCCTTCTATGTATGTATGTACGTATGTTTGCATGTGTGTATGTATGTATGTATGTATGTATGTATGTATGTATGTATGTATGTATGTATGTATGTATGTATGTATGTATGTATGTA